CGCTTTCTACTGCCAGCTAGAAGGGACAAACTGGGTTTGTTTTCATGTCTCTATTATATTGCTTTTCCATTTGAATGTATTTTGGGAATTTTATCTGGTGCACTAACTTTAAGTTCCAGCTATATGCTTATTATCATCCCAAAACAAGGATAAAAGCTTTGACCTTTTTCAATCGTATTTTGTTGCTTGCCAAGGAATTATTTTTCTCTATCCTTTTCTTAAGAAGACCGAAAAATTGAAGGTTTGTATAGCATGTCAAGTCATTTGTTTGCTGAAAGCGCCTACTCTAATGCCATAACTTTGACCTTCTATATTAAGGGTTAGAGGATTCATCTGTTATCCCATTGCTCTTTTTCTAAGCAAAGGAAGAAACAGAACTTAGTTAATAAAGCATCTTGTTCAAGCAGGTAAAACAAGTTGAACATAGAGTTTTGCATTTGATTTAGGCATGTAATGTTTTGTACGATAGATGTTCCTTCTGGACAGAACATTAAGGAAGCTGAGTTCAGAGAAGCAGTTTATCTTCATTCTATCATGTAATTCACTTCATCTTGTATGGGTTACACTTGGTCACGTCCAAGAGATATTACTACATATTATTAGAGAAGTATCCATATCAGAGACAGTGGCTGGCAAGTCTCACTTCATTCTTTTTTGGTTTGTGTATGCCATCAAAACCGTGTCTCGGTGTTTTGTTTTCACTTTATCTTTTGCGAAAAGTTACACTTGTCATGTCCAAGAGATATTACATGTTATTAGAGAAGTATTCATACCAGATCATGTGTCTGGAAAGTTCTACTTCATTCTTTTTTTGGGTTGGTGTATGCCGTCAAATAACCGTGGCTCTGTGTTTGTTTAGTTAGTTGTTGCCTAGCTAATGAAACAAAGCTGAAAATGGAAGTGAATACGGCAAACTTAATCATTGGATTTCCTTTCATCCTGCAGGTCAGGAATTTGTTATTGACTGGAGGCTTGTTTTGTGGACCCCTGTTTCTCACGTTCTGTTTCCTTAACAGTGTAGCAATTGCATACAGTGCCACTGCTGCACTGCCTTTTGGAACTATTGTGGTCATCTTTCTAATATGGGCTCTTGTAACATCACCTTTGCTTGTACTGGGAGGGATAGCTGGAAAGAACAGCAAGGCTGAATTCCAAGCTCCTTGTCGAACCACCAAATACCCAAGAGAGATCCCACCATTACCTTGGTACCGCGGAACACTACCTCAGATGGCAATGGCTGGATTTTTGCCTTTCAGCGCCATATATATCGAACTTTACTATATATTTGCAAGTGTTTGGGGTCACAGGATCTACACAATATACAGCATCTTATTTATAGTCTTCATTATTCTTATAATTGTCACTGCTTTTATAACTGTGGCATTAACATACTTTCAACTTGCTGCTGAAGATCATGAATGGTGGTGGAGGTATGTTTGTTCATTTACTGCTATTGCTATTCAGTGATCTTTCTTTTCAATAATATATGCATCAACCAATTTGGTTCTTCATCTATGCAAGCAAAGAAAGAGTGTTGAGAATCCTTTTGCAATACGTTACTTTGATGTGCTTAACATCATGATATTTCAGATGAACATTTGAAGAACTAATTTGTATATGTTGTTACTCCAAACAGGGCTTTCCTTTGTGGTGGATCAACTGGACTCTTCATCTACGGCTACTGCTTGTATTACTATTATGCCCGTTCTGATATGTCTGGCTTCATGCAAACCTCATTCTTCTTTGGATACATGGCTTGCATCTGCTACGGTTTCTTTCTCATGCTCGGGACTGTTGGTTTCCGCGCAGCCCTATTTTTTGTCCGTCACATATACCGGTCAATCAAGTGCGAGTAGGAAGCTGGTGGGATGGTCTTCTGTCTCTTACAGCAGAATCCTTTACAGATCTGGTATCTGGTATTCAAGAAGACCATGTAGGATGGTAGGATCTCTTGAGATGAAGCATGTATTATCTTACGCCGGAAATTTTAAGAACTTTTTGTCATTTTTCATTTACAGCTCAACAGTTTATATCGATTAGTAGATTTAGAGTTTCCTCATTCCATATTCTAATCCTTCCACACATTATCCTAGTCTGTCTAGTATTATTTTTACTGCATTGGGAACTTTGATCTATAATTGTACTGGTCCCAAGTTTCAAAAGAATGTATGAAATGAGCCATTCACTCGTTGAGCACAATGTTTTAAAAGGCGGAGGCGTGAAGCGAGGCATTTTACCTCTGACGAGGAGAGGCGTAAGCCTTGAAACATGGGGCGTAAGTCCCACGGATCTATTTTAGGATAGTATAAAATAAAAATTAATTTCAAAAATTGCATTAAAATAACAAAATTATAACAAATAATATATTTAAAATATTTATAAATTATAATTCAACTATGAATAATACGAGAAGTATGACATATATCATAATATGCAAATTAGCAGCAACGTCGTTACAACTCAAACATAAAAGTATTGTATTCGATACAAAATACTCAAACATAAAAGTATTGTATTCGATACAAAATCTTATATTATTATCTTAAGGAGTAATAAATCTTGAAAGAATTTCGATATTATAATTTGATATTTTTCTTAAAATACTCCTTTTATTTAATATACTTTCTATTTGAAAGAGAATTTATATAAACATAATTCACAATTTAAGTATGATTCTCTAGCATCATTTATTTTTAAGTTTCGACAAGTTAATAAAGTGACACATAATTAACCATACAATACCATGATAACTAATTATTTGCAAATAGTTACTAGCTAATACTGAGCTATTAAATTAATTAGTATTGTATCTCGTAAACGTAAAAAAAAATATTTAGAAAACTAATTATTAAAAAAATTACGGATTATTATATAGTAAAGACATAACAAAAGTTAATAAATAAATACTTTTTCAATGAAAGATTTATTTAAAATTCGCTATCATAGTAGTTTTAGTGGATTACGTGCAATAATTTTTATTTTTATTTTGACATAAAATACTCTCAACTTAATGATTTATGATTAAGAAAAAAGTAATTTTATATAGTTAACGATTTATTAAGAAAAGTTGAGGATTTACAAGGTTAGTTACATACAATTGCATAAAGTTCTATTAGGCGAGCACAGTATGCTGGGTGTTGGCGTGTCCGGGGCGTAAATCTCACGGGACTAAGCCCCACACATAAGCCCAAGGGCGTTTTACGAGTGCTCTGCCCTGTGGCGAGTCCCAATTCTGCCTTTTAAAACAGAGGTTGAGCAATGTCCAATTTGTTTGACTCTTGATTCCAACTTCAGTATTTGGCTAAAGAGTTTAACAATATATGGGAAAAGAAAAGACTACTCAAATATGGTATCTTAAACTTTTGTTTTTTTTATTTTTCGGTTTTTGATACTTGAACATTTTTCCTTTATGCTGTGCTATCTGAACTCATCTCGTTATAATAACTTACTACTATAGTAGGCTTATAGTCCGTACTTGCATCTTTGGAACTTAAATCTCTTGCTTTTTGTAATCTTAGCACTTATCCTATGGCTTATTATCTTACTTATAGCTCATCTTTTACTTCAATTTTTACTTTTGTGTTTCCTTTGTGAGTATGCATAGTTGAATTGATCAAAATATGTTCAAATTCTCTTACTTTTCGTCGAGGATTAGATCCTGTAACTGAAGATCTGTGGCTGACTGATATTGGCCATCACCATTATCATAACGACGGTCTGATTCCTTCCCTGTCAGTTAAAGATCTCTGATAAGGCTGCACTATGCCTAGGAGAATATCTCGATAAATTTGTTCATTCATCTCTCAACTTATATTCATGCCCTTGTTTTGTAACTTTATGTACAAGATTCTTATTACTTAAGAACGCATATGTAACACATGCATATTCTCACATGGTATTCTATATCTTTCAATTGGAAAGACACAAGCTTTTACGTAATACATGTTTTTTTTCAAAGTTCAACACGGTAGTAAATTCAAGATTTAACTTGGTAAACTTCTTAATGGAAATCATGTGATGTGATGCAAGTAATTTAAACCCATTTAACAAGTACGGAGGTCATATCATGGAAACACTTCATCTCTGTGTGTGCGTGTGTCTCTCTCTATTTTGAACCCATAGTGAAGCTTACAAAATATAATGATTCCATAATCTTCAAAACATATTGAAACTTAATTTAAGCTTGAACTAAAAGTTAGTTCTGTTTCTTTGGCTTAGTAGTGAGCTCTCTCCCTTTTCTTCCCCAAAATCGACGTTATTCCCAAATACAAGCATATGAGGTTTCTTGACCTATCTCGCGTCCGCTCCTATAGGGTCTTTTAACATATGTATTTAATTTTGTATGTTAATCTGGTCTCTGTGGTGTACCAAAAAAAGGAAACAGCTAATAACAATTTCTTCGACTTTAAAGACGTACGTAATTGACATGCAATATTATCCCTTAACTAGAGGTCTTAGTTCGAGCTATGCAAATGAGAAATTGTGGTAAGAAACATCCTCCCCTTTAATGGGTCTTATGAGATGTGAATCCAGATTTGTCAATACAGGTATCAGAAATCGGTAAGAAATCAAAAAAAAAAAAAACAACCCTATCATTGTAATAAGTACGAGTTTTCGCAAAAATTCTGTACTTCCACCCCCACCCCACAAAAAAAAAAACATTGAGTTGACAAAGAGTACTGCTAAATAGAAGTGAGGTACTTGAAAGGACTTGGTACATTATCTCCTCCTTTTCCTTGTGTGTGCGTGTTTAGATGATGTTTTGGGGAGAGGGGCTAATGAATAGTGGAAACTCAGTAATCAATCCCAAATGAAAGTGAACTGTTCATATTTGCCAAAAAGGGAAGAAAAATGAACCAGAACGGACAAAAATAAAAGAATTGAAGGAAAATACCGAGACTATAATTGCACTCAACCCCGTCAGCAACTTACCACTTCTATTTAATACTTGTCTATCAATGTATCAGTAGCAAGTCAGCAAGAGGAATAAGCAAAGCATAGAACAGAGCAAATCCTGCGATCATCAGTCAGAATAAGTTTTCTGATAGAGTTAATTAGTTGAGTTAGCTGTATCTGTCTAACATAGTAATAATGTTTGAACAACAAAGGGAAATCTGAAATCCATCCAATAATGTAACATACGTTTAAAATAGTAAAGTAAATCCAGCTTACACGCAGCTCTGCTCAACTGCACAATCATGATACAACATGTCCTCTCTGTAGCTACTAGTTTGCATATTCCCCTTTGACAAAAGTCTAGCCGACAACGTGCTCTTTTGTGCAGGTAATAGAGTGAGAGACAGTACTCTCTTCTCGCGATGGGAAAAAGAGTACGTAAATGCGACCAACTACCTCCATGAACCACCAAGTCTGATAACCTCCTCAGTACTTGTATCCCTATTTGGAGCTCTCTCGCCGCCTACGTTCTCCTTTTGATTGCCTAAGTCCCCATATAGATCTTTAAGCTTCGCAAGATTGCTAGATGCAGCCTTCTTTTCCTTGCTTTCATCTCTAGGTGGAGTTCGATGTTGATCAAGACTGGTCCCTAGATCATGCAAACTTCGGCTGTGGCTTCGACTCCTACTCCGGCTCCTGCTCCTCTCATAGTCTCTTCTGCTTCTCTCTCTTGAACTTCGATCATAATCATACCTCCTGTCTCTATCCCTTCCCCGGTCTCTGTCATAATCATACCTCCTGTCTCTATCCCTTTCACGATCTCCCTCATAATCATACCTCTTATCTCTATCCCGATCCCTACCCCTCTCCCTTTCTCTTTCCTGGTCCCGGTCCCTATATCGATCCCTATCCCTATCCCTATCCCTATCACGGTCTCTGTCCCTAGGTCTTTCCTTCTCCCTCTCTCTGTCTCGGCCCCTGTCCCTTTCAGAATTTTCTCGGTCAGATATATCACGACTTTGACTCCGGCGGATGCTGGGGGACCGTCTTGAATCATCTGCACCATCCTTATCATAGGGTGGTGGTGCGATTGTACGTCGGATGGGAGATGAATCTCTAGTTGATGCACGATGAGGCGCACGCTGACCAAAAGACACTGAAAGGGAAGCTTTGACAGAAGGTGGCCGACGGGAGGTTTCCTCAGATCCGCGACTAGAGTCCCCGATCGAACCAGAGGGTTTGGTCGGCAGATTCATTTTTTCGAGATTGGCAACTGCTGTCCGCATAACAGGAACAGGAATGCGGGGTAATAGTGTGTCAAAATAATACTGCAATGAAAAAGAATGTGCAAGTGAATCATGGGAACAGGTGTAAAATACAATAATAGCATTATCCAATAAAGTGTCAGGTAGTTGCACATGAATGGAAATTGAAAACCCTGATCCACCAAAGCATACTTCTTGCCTCCTCCCTCCCAGTTGAGGCTCACATACTAGCAAGTCATGTCCTAATAAGTGAATGGCATAAATGTGAAGCTCCAGAACTCATCTAAACATTAGTGAAGCACCCATACAGGCGCCTACATGCTGTGACAAATGAGATATCTTTCGATGAAGGGTCAGTTCGAACATCTGAGTTACACCCCTCGAGATTCAATAAACATCAAAACTGGAAGATGTAGACTGCAGCAATCCAAGGCCAAAGAAATAATAACATGAACGTCCGACTCAGATGTTTTTTAACAGAAATGTCTTTTTATCAAGTCTAAGCACATAATTGCAGTTATGGAAACAGTCAAGGGCAAAACTATCACAGAATTGTCTTTTCATTCAGCTGTTAAAAGAACACATATTCCGGAGCAGAGTTCAAAGAATTATCCTGTGTCAAGATCCTTTATATCAACTGCTTCACTATTGACTAAGCAACGGCCATGATGTTCTACTTTGCAAACTTAGCAACAAAATCAGAGCAAAATAGAAATGCAAGAGAAGAGCATCCATTAGAAACATCATGAGTATATATCTATTGCACCACTGTGCTAAAACATTCTCCACGAAAGGTCGGGTTTAGAGGTGGCACCTTACCTGTCCGAGAAATAAGTCACGCACATATACGCCCATTGTCGTCATTTGGCCACTGGATCCAGGAGAGAATTCCTGAAATAAATAGTTAATAATCAGAATGAGCCCTAAAAATCAACTCCCATCATGAAGATAAACATCATAGGTGAACAAACTAAAGACATAATCCTGTTTTCTGAGATGCTGCTAACACTACTGAAAAGAATCTCACTGCTTCAAAACCCCAGTTTGCAGAAGAAAAAAAAAAAGGAACAGGAGATGGAATGTAAAAAAGTAGGTAAAATCTCAGAAGTGTACCACCATACAAATATTAAAATCAGTTCACCTGCAAAAAAATTTATGTCCAGGCACCTTCAAGCAAGAGTGGTCCTTGCATCCTAAGGCATAAGGAGTGAGAATCATAGCATAAAGTGCGCACAGATCATGTAATACTTACGACACACAATCAAGATCAATATCTCAGAAGCAGAGCTGAGAATAACATGGTTTTAGGCATACTACAAGAGAGAGAAAGATAGACAGTTCTACACTAAAACTATTGGAAAGAGAGCTCTTGTAATAGAAATAGTTAACTGGTGATTCGAAGGAGACCATTCAGATAAAAAAATGCTGATTGAAAACATATTGATCAGCTAGTTTAAAATGAATGAAAGCAGAGAGGAAAAGCATTATCGGGAGGAGGGGCGGAAATTAACTATAGAGGCAATATTTTGAGCGGATTGACGAAACAAGAGAACAGTAACAAATGATTGCATTTCTCCTTCAAACACTATATTCCATGAAATTGATGAAAATAGTCAAAGTTGCAGACATATCTATAACAAGGAAATGATCAGGATTGATAGACTTGTTGTTTGTATGCAAAATGTCAGAATCTTAATAGAATGCTCAAATGCAGCATTTCAATAGAAAATAACACAATAGAATGATCTACTTCAGGTAGAGCACTTCATTTTTACCTCATCATCTTTGAGATAAGGCTCATACCAAGCCCATAATGTCTTAAAATCAGCAAGATATCTCAGATAAAGGAACCCAACCTGCCAAAAAAAAATTACAAGCATTAAATCCATTGGCAAGAGGCTCAAGAATGTAAGTACAACAAAGTCAGAAAACAAAAGCACATGAATTTGGAGAATCAGGGACATGGTTTAATTGGGGATGCAACTGAATTCTCTATTCATACATGTGCTACTTTCAATAGGTAATGAAAGGAACTACTGTGCATTAGATGGAATTCCGAAAGCCTCATTTTGATTCATCACTTGGTGAAGCAGTGAAGGTGATGGCAAGCAAGTGGAGGATTTGGTTCCAGTTTGCTTAAATTCTAAGCATCAGCAACTACAAAAAGTAATTTTGTTAGCTTTATGCAGCATTATGCAGAGAAAAATATAGAGGGGGAAAAGCACGACATAACCTGGCTGGTAAAGAAAAAAACTCGGTACGCCTCATTCGTCACTAAAGACTACCTCTTCAGGGATAAGTGGATCAATTCTGCCAAGAAACTTTCTTATAACACATAATCTAACTACTGATTGTCTATTAACAATTATTGGAAGAGTGAAATAATGTTCTTTTTCCCTTCTGCTTTTGGAAACACATGACACACTCCACGGATGACTTCCACTCCTTCACTTCCAAATAAAAACCTTTTAATAGAAAATACTATCAGAGGCGGTTAAAGCTGCGGATTAGGGTTCTCATCTTATCCAAATCCATTCATCATTTTTTACTCTACTATGGAACATCCCTTTGAAACAATAGCGGAGCGAATTGGACCGACTTCCAAGCCAACCGACAGCATCGAAAATTCTCAACTTCCTTTAGAGGTTCTAAATTCTTTTCCAATCAAAACTTAAAAAGGAATGAAGGTGTTTAAGGGAAAAAAGTATGCACACTACTAATCTACTAGTAGTAAACAGGCATGATAATCAGCTGAAAACAAAAGAAAACATCTCCTAGATACCTATACAAAAATCTTTAGGGAATCACAGACAGTACATTGCACAAAAGAAAGAATTCACAAATAAGAAAGTAACAAATCTAATAGATAAAGTGTAAGATACAAAATACCACTTACAGCTCTAATGTAAGGAGAATCTGGATGCTTTAACAGGCCATGCATTTGCTTGACAGTAAGTTTCATCGTAAAGAACTTGTAGAGAAGGCAGAAGGCTGTTGAAGGACCACGACAGTTGCCAGTCATCCATGGTTCCACATGGTCAACTTGATTATAAATTTCATCAATCACTTCGTGATAAGTTTTCAGGCGCAATAGGTCTCTGAAATAATCAGAAGAAAGAATGTTCATGCACAGAACCTTCTCCAGCAATTGGTCGATCGGTCTCCCAGAAGTTTTAATCTCAGCCATGCCCTTGGTGATGTAGGCACCAAAGTGTTATCTTTTCCTCCCTTTGCTTGGCCAACAATAAAAAATGATATTGGAAAGATTAAGGTTCAGATACCAAGTTACCTGTCACAGAAAATAGTGAATAAGTTACATAACATAGTGAACTAAAACTTGCAAAAACGTACACTAATATAATCACATTTCAGCTAATACAACCATCCCATGTTTGAAAAAGTAAATGATCATTACTACTTGGCACCAGTGTTGTCAAAGGCACGCTTAAGCCCTCAAGCGAGGCTCAAAACATGTTGAGCATTTCGCCTCGCTTTGTGTGCGCTTTAGTGTCGCATCAAGGCTCTAAGGCATACTTTTCCTTGCCAATGAGTGTAATCCTGAAAAAGGTGACATGAAACAATTGATATTTCACTTACTCTTAAAAAAATTCAATTTCTTTTTCCATATATTTGTTATTCATGCTTATAATTATTAGTCTTCGACTACGTATACATATTTTTACTTTTTCTCCAGTTGCCCATTTTTTCATTAAAGCCCACGCTTTATTTAAGCTTAAAGCCTCAGCGTACCTTAGAGCTTTACGCTTTTCGCCTTTGATAACACTGCTTGGCACATTCACACAATCAATCAACTAAGTGTAGGGGTGTGCATTCGAATCGGTTTATCGATAAATCGAATCGATTATTTGTTATCGGTTTATCGATTTATCGATTTCGAAATTTTCCTTATCGAGTTATCGATTTCGATTTCGATTTTGTCCTCTTCGGTTATCGGTTTATCGACAAACCGATAAGAAATACAAAAGAAAATTAATTTTTTTTTAATTTTTTTTTTACCCTTATTCTATAATACACTTTCCTTTATCCTAAGTCTCTAACCCTATTATTTCATCTACCATATTTCAGGAATGATCATATTTATAGCTCAAGGGAATGAAGTTCAAATTAATGGAAAATAGAATTAGCCGTGATGATGTATTTTTATTTTTTTATACCGTTGGAGTGTTGGTGGCATACATTTGATCCCTTACTTTAGTTTCGTTGCATGTGCTTGTTGACACAATTTTCATGTTATAAACGGTGTTCGTCTTATTTTAGCTTCTTTTGGTCCATATTAGTTAGGCGTGTTTATAGCGATATACTTTCCGTGGAATCCCGCAAATTTTCTTATTGGTGTAATCGATAACCGAATCGATAAGCCCCAAAAATCGATAAATCAAAATAGAAAAAATCGAAAACTTATTGAAACGATAACGATAAGCATATGTACAAATCGATAATCGATAAGTAATTATCGATAAGGGTCAAAATCGAATCGATAAATCGAATGCACACCCCTAACTAAGTGTAGATCCAACTTAATTGTGACCATATGAATCCTTTTATTCATTCGGCTCTATTGAGGTTCATTTCATCTCATAGTAAATACTCTGGCAGCTTTTCCGAAAACATGAAAGGTGATAAATGGACCATATCTAAGACTACTACAAATCTGCTTACTTGCTGGAGTTTCTCTGGAGAATTGAGCAGACAGAAGAAGTGGTGGAAGATTATCCCAGCTTGCATTTGGTGGACTACACGGAGGGAAAGAAACTTGAGGTGTTTTGAAGGAACCAGTAACCTTATTCAGAAGATTAAGATAGAGTTGTTTACTGCTGTTTCACTGTTGGTGTAAGGAAGTATTTTTAGATGATGCAGATTCTTTGATAGATATTATGGAGTCCTTGTAAGAAGAACAAGGATACAATTCTCTGTGTCGGTGTGTGTGTGTGTGTGTGTTTTTGAATGGTAAATACGGCTACTAGCACAGCCTTTGTGCTAAATACTTATAAGTTTGTTTCCTTTATAAGAAAAAAATCATCTATCAAGGCAAATTGTGAGTTCTCAAAGCTAAAAGGCCTCTAAAACAGACACTTGCAAACATACAACACACAAGTCTCTTACCAAAATAAAAACACTCTTGACAAACATCAGACTTAATGCAAGTATACCAGTGCTTCTCACCACATCGATAAAATTATTACTTTATTGCTGTTTGGGATCCACTACTTCTTCATCCCGAGGGAGACTAGCCTTATTTTTTTTATAAGGTCCCGAAGGAAACTAGCCTTATAACTTCCCATTGGGTGAGATTTGCACCTAATCCACCCATCCACTCAAATACGACATTCAACTAACTTGCACTAGTAGACTCCTATTGTATTGGAATTAAGCACCATCTTTTCACTGTTGTCAACAGTTTTCTTCCTAGTTCAATTTTTCTATATTAAAACATTTCTTTTCGTAAGCGTCAAAAAGACCCTTCTTCAAACCATCTCTGATGCCATTGAGGGGCAAGAGAAGGCTACGAAAATCACAGACCAATGATAAAACATATTCCTCATTAAATCATTTCTCTGTCATTTCTGATGCAAAAACAGAAGGGGGGGGGGGGGGGGGAACAAGTGTCAAAAAGTAACCTATCTTTACATCTAACTACACTCTTATTCCTAATTCATCGGACCAAAATACACCCTCCATCTCATAGAAACCATATAAATGAAAACACCACCTAAAATACAACTAGCTCGAGAAAATCAAACAAAAAGTAAGCATCAAAACACTGAACTGAACCAAACAAATCCACCACCAAACTTTTCAGGTAGTTTTCCCCATCAATAAGACTCAAATTACGGATTCAAATGATATACTTGAATTCAAAGTAAAACAGGAAAAATATTTCTTCTTTACTGCAAACTTCACAGATTTTTCTTTTTTTTTTTAAAAAAAACTAATCTTTCAAACTCCACTTCTTCCTCCTAATTCACAAGACCAAAATACACCCTCCAGCTCATAGAAACTATACAAAAGAAATTACCAACAAAAACACCACTAGGTCGAGAAAAAAAAATAAAAAAGGGATTTCATTTCAGTTATATACACTAAGAGTGCAAAAAAAAATGCACCATCAGTCTAATTTAACATGTTACGACAAGTTAATTACCATTTTATGCTAGTTTATCAATCGATGCTTATTAATAGAATTACCTACAATAACCTTTTAACTGAGATGATTGGGAAGATATTTTTTACCATCAGTGGACAAAACTTAAACTCAAAAAGGGATTCAAGTTATATACACTAACAATGTAAAGAAATTTTTACGCTATCAATATAAATTAACATGTTATAACAAGTTACTTACAGTTTATGCTCAGTTTATCAACCACTACTTATTAACAAAATTACCTGCAATTACTTTTTGACATAGGTAAATATATTTTACACCGTGAGTGCATAAAACTCAAACTCACTAAAGCTTAAATTACGCATTCAAAACGATACTTAAATTCAAAAAATAAGTTAATAAAAGTGGGGAAATGATAACTTTATGCAAATGAAACGAAAGGAAAGAAATTTCTTCCTTACTTAAAATTGTACAATTACTACTGTCAAATAAAGCTTAAATTTACAAGTTAGAAACACTAGAAAGCAGCTAAATAGACCTAACTCTACAACGAATGTTCAGAAACCCTAGATTTCGATTGAAAGTTAAATCGAGAAGATTTTAATGCTTTTAAGCTGAAAATATCAATTAACATACTGGAAAATTGAATAACCTTTACCTTTTTTGCGTTGTTGAGCAGAGAAATCGATGCAGAGCAATAATGGAAAATTGACGAGGTATAGAGAAGATGAGAAAAGAAGCGGGGGGGTCGAGGGGTATACGAACTATTGATAAACTCCGAAATGGGCTTTTGAGAGGTCCAATTGACAGAGTTTTGGACTGAGTAGTTAATGGGCTCCCTATCAATGTTTTAAGAGATTTTTTCCTTCCTATACCATGTATGAAACCTTATTATAAAAAATGTGTATAGTTTCATATTTACCCGCCATGTTCATAGTTTTTCTATAATTATTATATCATTTATTAAATACTAATTATTAGGAGCTGATTCCTTCCTAATTAGGCGCGCTACAAATCAGGAACAGAATATTCTAATTGATTTAGCGACCTTCAGATCAAATTTGAAACGCAATCCTATATCTTCATTTTAAAATCAAATTACATAGACTCTTTTCTGCAAAAACTCTGTTCTTCGATATTTTTCCTTAAACCACAAATCAAAAAAAGACAAAATCGTCAACAAACTCGAATCAAATTGTAGAAATCAGTTCTGCAAAAGCTCAGTTCGTCGACATTCTCTCTACATCTCTCTCTATTTCTCAATCGCAAATTTCAGTAATACAAAGCAAATGAAAAGAGAGCAGCAATTACACCATTGACAGCCATTAAAACGCTTGAAAGCTTTGAATTCAAATTTGGGTTTTCAAAAATCATTATTTGTTTGGATTGGGTGTTGTTGAAAATAATCGAGAATATGGTTTGGAGTTTATATCTCAATTTTGAGGCGTTTTGGTGAAGATTAGACTTGGTTTTGACTGAATTTCAGATTGAAACTCGAAGAAGAAGACATATTGCAGAAATTGTAGATAAATTGTAGATTGTTTGTATTCTGATTGTAGATGCTTTATTTTCTGTCTTCACAAATAAAAAACGGCTAAAACTTCTACAAATCTTCTGAAAAAATGCAATTATGTCAAAAATCCCAATTATGCTACAATTGAATGGGAATTGGGATATAAAAATTCAATGTACACAGTTTGTAGATATTTTGTAGATAAATTGTAGAATATTTGTATTCTAATTGTAGATGCT